AGTAGTTAGCAGAACATATCGTTTTGGAAGTAGAAATACACCATAGGAATTATGTGTATTACAAAAAACACTTTTCTCTCAGAATCAGTTCCGACAGCAACGAAATCAGTTGCGTCTAAGACGTCAAAGAACCCTTCAATTTTTTCGCCAAAGAAATATGAAGCTTTACTACAAAAGGGAGCCACCCAAAAACCGTCAATCATAAGAACTGCACAAACGTGTAAACGAGATAAAAATAATATCATGGATGGATCAGGAATTTCGAGAAATGAATGATTTGTAAAGATTATTGCTTCTTCGAGCAGTTTTCCTTTTGTAGAATGCTCTTCGCAAAAATGTTCTCAGCAACAGGAAATTTATTTAGAAATATTTTTAGTCAAACCTAAGCCCTATATGTATCTGCCCCGACCCACTTGCTAGCGACCCGTAGGGTCGCTAGTATATATATATATATATATATATATATATATATATATATATATATATATATATATATATATATATATATATATATATATATATATATATATATATATATATATATATATATATATATATATATATATATATATAATATATCGATTTTTCGCAGACTTGAGCAACGGGACGGAAGTTAGCATAGGGAATAAGTGTGCGTGGAGATAACGCAAATAGCATTGATTAAGGAAAATACCCACTGCATTTCTCGAATTTATCGATTTTGACGAAGTTTGAACTAGACAGCTGGGAATTACAGAGAGTTAAACGAATAGGGTGGTAACAAAAAACATAGTACGGGCATATAGAATTGAGGCACGACGAATGTGATATGAGAATAGGAATGGTGTAATAATATGTGTAATAATATAATATTGATATCATACAATGTGATTGAAGGGGAATCATGCTTTTTCTAACAATGTTCAAAGCAAAATTCAATGTTGCTCGCGACAGCCCAAGCTGACAAAGACAAATGCACAAGTGATTTTTTTGAACTGTAGTCGCGACAAATGCTAGAACGTTTGACAAATCTTTTACTGATTTTCTTTGTGACCTTTCTTTCTGCCTAATAAATTCTTGCTGATCGGACGTCTCTTTTAGAAGTCGTGATCTCCAGAAAATTCTCGCGCTTTGATTGTTCAAGTACCTAGTATGCAGAAGTGACTACCACATACTGACTGCTAGTCCCTCTCCCGTCCAAGTCAAGGTCTTAAAGACAGCGTCCAGGCAAGATCCATCCACCCAGATTAGCACATAGTTGTAAAGATGGGCCCATGAGTATCCGATCTGCGTTGGTCCAATCCTTTGATGTGCCCTTCAAAAGGAGATACGGGCCTGTGATACGTATCACAAGCCGCCCCTTTGTATCACAAACCACCCCTGAGGACGAGTGCTTACGCAGGTGTGCGGTTGCATTGCAGTTGCATTGCAGTTGCACTGCACACTGCAATGCAACTGCATCCGTGCAGTTGCAGCTCCTCCCGCTGGCAACGATGGAGACGAGCAATTCGAAACTCGTCCGCTCCTTGAAGAGAGGGTCCCCAAGAACCGGGTTTTTTGGGAGTTTTGAACAATTTGGATTTTACAACTGTAATCAGGGCCACGGAAAGGCCCCAGAATGGCAGAAACATGAGAGGCGAAATTTTGCCCGGACGCTGCCTTTAATTGATGCGAGATTGAGCCGTTATACATATTTTGGACGTAGCAAAAGCAGAACACTGTCTTACTTTCTCTAACTCTCCTACCTCACATTGTTCTCCGCCTCACGCGTTGAACCCGCTACTCACAGACGGCGTTGTACGGGAACCAACTGAGCTGGAACTTATTCGACAAATATTTTGGGCTACTTTTGATTGGCAATCGCCGGGCCGGTATGTTGATTTGATTTTGTCGATCCTGCTACTGACCCTAACCAGCATCACAGTGCGCTACGAACTCCTCCGTAACAGCGGGCTCACCTGCTTCCTCGGTTCACTGCATCCTTCTCACCGCGAAATGAATGAATGAGCTCTGTTGCTACCGTTTACACGAAACCGTAGAAACAATATGTTGACGGTGAGAACTCATTCTTACTGAAGTATCAAAAATCAGATCAACAGAACAGCCAGTGAATGGCAATGGCATGTGGGCAAAATTCTAAGCGGTCAAGCGGTCCACGCATAAGCCATCTGTCCAACACAAGCAGCCTTCCTTTTTTCATCGCTCATTTTCGGATTGAAAACAAAGATGAAAAAATAACTGGGTTGCATGAAGTGATAGAGCTCTTCAAGGGCTACAATCCACACATTGCGCTTTCTGGAAAAGATGAACTCTAAACATTTCAAAACTCTTTTCCTAAAAAAAGTCCAAAAATGGCCGCGCCATAATGTCGCGCACAACAATTCTTCGAACGCGAAAATTTTCCTTCAGGTCTTTGTTCGGGCAAACAGAAGTTTTCCTGATAGTAAGCATACTATATTGTAGAGCTCATCGAGGACAATAATCAGATAGTGGTTACTTCCAAAAAAAAAATCCAAGCTTGAGTTTCATTTTGCTTTTTCCAGAGAATAACCTTCAATTCCTTTATTTAAACCAAATTTCTTCACATGGAAACCTATTCAAAACATTCCAACAAAGCTATTCAGTTAAAATGGATGCTCTTGGCCATATTCTATGCATCGGACATGTGCTGGTGAGTTACTTTGCTGAAAATGGCTCTTGCAGTGCGTGACCATGACCCCACCTGCACCTCATCACTGACTTGTACCAATTTGCAGGCTTATAGCCCGGCCGGCAGTCACTCTACAAGCCTGGGCATACGCTCATTCGAAAGAGCGTGACTTCCTCGACACGAAGGTATGCAAATGAGTTGAGTTCGGAAGGTCAATGAGATTTCACGGAATGGGTGAAAAAGCGCAGCTTCAGTGGTAGGCTAAGGATTTTTGAGCTAAAGTTGAGCAAAGCTCCTTTCGCCAACGGTTCCATCCTGGGAGTTCAAAACTATCAATTTTCTTGTAATAGGTACATTTCGGAGCTCTAAGATTGTTCTAGTGTTGATAAGAGCCTTTACTCCATTCTCCTCCAAAGCTCGCTTTTTCACCCCATCCGTGAAATCTCAGGGACTTCCCAAACTCACTTCATTTGCATACCATCGTGTCGAGGAAGTCACGCTCTTTCGAATGAGCCTATGCCCACGCTCGTAGGGTGCCTCCATACCGCGCCGGCATCCGCTGCTAGCAGCCCGTAGCAGTGGCTGGCAGCCGCTAGCAGCCGCTGGCAGCCCACAGCATCCGCCAGCAGCCCGTAGCCGCCGCTGGCCGCTTTTGTCATAGATGCTCAAAATCATCAAATTCTTACTAGTTTGGTGCGCCTGTCCATGCTTTAGATCTCCCACGCCTCTTTCTTCACATTCCGACTAATGTGCAGTTCCACTCTCACACATTACAGAGTTATTCAAGATAAGCACTGGCCAAGTATATGATTGAAGCAGAACCATACATAAATACTGCAGAAACTGGACGCATTCAAAGTCAGAAGAAATCACACCGAACTTTGGCGAAATATGGTTCGACAGCGAGAGGCAAACTGAGCATCAGCAGGATAACCAATTACGGCAGTAAGATATTAACAACAATGGACACAAATATGATATATGAGACCGACGAGGAAGATGGAAAGCGTGGGCGGTTGCACTCAAAATAGTAAGAATTTGATGATTTTGCGCTTCTATGACAAAGGCCAGCGGCTGCTACGGGCTGCTAGCGGCGGCTGCCGGCGCGATATGAAGGCACCCGTGGAGTGACTGACGGCCGAGCTACAAGCCTGCAAATCGGTGCAAGTCAGTGGTGAGGTGCAGGTGAGATCATGTGCATGCACTGTCAAGAGCCATTTTCAAAAACTCACCAGCACACGTCCGATGCATAGAAGATGGCCAAGAGCATCCATTTTAATTGAGTAGCTTTGTTGGAATGTCTTGAATAGGTTTCCATGTAAAGAAATTTGCTTTGAAAAAGGGAATTAGAAGTTATTTTCTGGAAAAAAGCAAAATAAAACTCAAGCTTGGGTTTTTTGGAAGCACAACTATCTGATCATTGTCCTCGATGAGCACAATATAGTGTGCTTATCTGTCAAGAAAACTTCTGTTTTTGCCCCAAACAAAGGCCTAAAGGAAAGTTTTCGCTTCGAAGAATTATTGCCCGCGACATTATGACGCGACCATTTTCGGACTTTCTTTAGGAAAGAATTTTTTTAATTTTTAGAATATATATTTTCAGAAAGCGCAATGTGTGTATTGTAAGCTCTTGTAGAGCTCCATCACTTCATGCAACCCAATCATTTTTTCATCTTTGTTTTCCGTCCGAAAATGAGCGATGAAAAAGGAAGGCTGCTTGTCCGCAACTATTTAGAGTGACATGTATTATACATCTTGAATAAATATTACAAATATCGAAATTTTAGCAATTGATATAGATTTTTTTTGAACTTGTTGTCCAAGACGTATATTTTATCATGCAAAATAGTAGGTGGGTTTAGAACTCCGCTAACTCTGCAAGTATTCCAAGATGACCGGAAAACATAATGCCAAAGCGGAAAAAAACACCACCGAATGCAAACTATCTCCCCCACACCTGCCTGCTTTGCGAGGCCTACAGATAATCAAGATAATCAAGCTGCTTTTTATGAAGAATATTTCTAAATGATCATAAATTACTTATGACTACCACGAAACCTTGAATAGTGAAAGCGGGAGTTCAACAAAGCACGCCGATAAGCATGGTAAAAAAATACACAAATTCAAACTCTTCAACTAACTTCGTGACCCGCAGCATAGTTTGGGAAAAAATGAATGTTTCATGTAAAATTGTCCATGTCTTCACTGCAAATTTTCAGGACCATTCTTTTAAATGATCGACTGGTTAATAAGAAGGAACTGAGCGCTATAGAGTTCACCCGGCATTCAGATTTTTGGATCCTTGAGCAAGAACAGTTGCTAGATTTCAAACAGAATAGAATTTCAAATAAGACTTATAAGTGTAGCTTACCAGCAGCATCACACACTCCTTCATCCATTCGTTCTGGACCAACTTGAGTGATACTGTTCACAGCTTGTTGTTGAGCGTGTTGCTGGAGGGTCTGGTAGTACTGCTGGAGATGTTGCATATTCAGTGCTTGTTGAGCGCGTTCAAAATGTGCCATCAAATCCATTTGTTTCTGCTTGAAAACCTAGAAAAGAGAAAGAGCTTACTCAATGATGCCGGGAAAACAACTAAAAATTGAAGAAACAAGACGCTAAACCTCAGGTGTAGTGAGCTCACTACGAAAACAAAAGGAGTTTGTGAATATCTATTGCTTTTGACGACTTATAGTTTCGCATTTCTGATAAAGCCCAGGAATAGGTTTCCCACTATTGATTTACCAGTGCTTCACCTCTGCTTCGCAGAGGTTCGCACTGGCATCGTGAACCGTGGTAAACTCACTTTCTGAGAGCTTGTCTCTCAAATCATTGTTCGGTTTATTGCAACGTGAGCCGTAGTTAAAAATGAACCATACTCGCTATCTTAACCTCACATGATGTTAGTATCGTAAATCATTCCTCACTGTAATTTCGTAACGGACAAACTCCACACAACTTCAGATTAAGCCGCTTATTATAAGTCATGATAGGGTGAACAACTGATGTCATTGAGAAACTAACTTCATGGTTTTCCAAGAAAGAGAACTGCTACGTAGAAATAGTATGAATGATGGCATTCGTCTGTCTGTACGTATTATCCGAATAGAATATTTCGTCCTTGTATCGCTTCCCATTACTTTCCATATACTCCAGGGCGGGCCGTATCATACGCTATCTTCGTTATCGATCGGTACCAAATTTATTAAATTCCGGCACACTTTGAGCTGAGGGCCCGAGCTGGTACAGGGAGAATGCCGATTACGAACAATATCTAGCTCAGAATCTTATGGATTTTACCAATTTTAAGATTTTGAGCTAAGGCGCTGCGAGCTTGTGCAAGGGCTGGGTGAGCATGATGACAAAAGTAACATTTTTTTTGGAGAAGCAACCATTGCATTAGGTTGGTGCAAAAGTAATGCGCGTTTTTGTAGTCCTTGTTTCAAGACAACTTTTTTTCCATAAGATTTTTTCCTTGGAGAAGACTTAGCTCACTATCAAGAAGCTCCTTTCATGCTCTATCCAATGGTGCTTAGAATGGGCTTCTAACTCCAATCGTTGAAAATTTACATAGCTTCTCCTACCACAGCTTCGCACTCAAAACCAGAGTTTCATTGCATTTGCTTTTCCGGTCAGAATTTAAACGCAAATAAAAATCATTCTTTAGAAAATCCAGCTGCTGTGTGGAGAACATTGTCTACATTATGATACTTTACTATTTTCTGGGAATCATCTGAACTGAGACGCCGCCTCAACATGAGTAGCCATTGGTTATTCTGTGGCTCATAAGTTTCTTTGAAAGAAGGCAATCCCCAAAGCTTTGCTCATTTCCGTAAGAGTGAAAATAGGCCTCCTGTTTACAGTTTTTTCAAAAACTTCCAGCTTACAGCAAGAAGAAAATCAAAAAACTTCACATTTTGGGACTTTGAGGGCTGCGAAAAAGATGCTGAAAAGGTGACAATTTTGAATTTTTATTTTTTTCCTCTTCGCGATCTTTACTGTTAAAGGCAGTGTCCCGGCAGATTTTGCACCTCCACCTTTTTGCATGTTTTAGGCCTTTTCGCCACGTAGAATCCGAATTTGAGTTTGAACGGGCTGAAAAGGCCGAGTTTGGGGCGTTTTCCTAATTCCAAAAAAAGCAGCTCGGACGAGATTTTTAATGGAAAGTTGGGGGAGGTCCTCAGACGAAGACCCTGCCGCCTGTAATTCTTGCTTTGGATAGCATGCACCATGGTGGAGAGCGTTCGTGGGGTCCCGCACCGAACAGAAAAGGAAGGCCGTCCAAGCGCGCGCCGGTTCAAGGGCCATTTTCTCGGCCCAGGGGGAACATCACCCAGCCGGACTGCGCCTGGAGGTTGGTGGGGTGACCAGGAACCCCACCACATGTATATCCCCCAGGACCCGAATCTGCCGGGACACTGCCTTTAAAACCCTTTTTGTCTCCTTTTGTACTACTGGATTGTGACTACAGGATAAGCTACTTTTCGTTTATACTAACAAATTTTGAAGGACTCATAATCATTCAAGAACGAGGTTTCGAAAAAAAATTTTTTTGCTTATCAATCCATATTTTTCTGCCCGTTTGTGACATGAGTAAAATGGATGTGCACTGTACTGAGAAAGTTTGCTGCATCTGATGGTCTTTATCGCATAATAGATTTCTTAGAAAGTTACAACATGTCAACATGAGAACTCGCAAAATACGGATAACTTTTGCATCAACCTAATATTTATTGATTTTCTACAAATTCTGAGTTAGGCTGTTGAGAGTTGGTGCAAGGAATGAGGGGCAATGCTGATTGCAAAGTGGGGGAGGGAGAGGGTTGCTTAATCTCAGGCCTCCAATCACGCATGCCCGGTTATGTTCAGGAAATTTCCAACTACTCTTATTCTGTTTCGCTCACTTGGAATGAAAGATAAAACGGCGGACGAGACATTTCTACAAATGGATAGTTTTTCGACATGAGAATAATCATGCATTGAATTGGGATAAGCCGCCATCGGTAATTGCAGCAGAGAAGAATCTATTTTATCACAGGGTATGACATATCCATTGACGGCAGATATACACAGATAGAGAAGCCGCCATCAACAGCTACAAGAGTGTGGCAGTCGATAGGACATCACATAGTGTATAAAGAAAAAAGAAATATTTCAGCTCAATCTCATCATTCCGCGAGGAGGAAATTCAAAGAAAAGGAAGTTTGGTTTTCAGCCCAATCTTATCATCCTGCGATGAAGGACATTACAAGATACACTTTCAAAAAGCCCCTCACCTCGTCAGGATCAAGGATGCGCAACAGTTACACATCAGAAGAAAGAGGCTGAAAAGCTCGAAGAACTGATGGACACGACACGCTCTCGCATTCCACAGAAGAAGCAAGAACGGATCCTCCCACCCTTGATAGCAAATAACAGTTTGTGCAATGATGTTTTTTGACCAGATCAGACCCAGGTTCCATCCCTTCCCTGATCCAACCAAGCCCTCTACCCTCCGGGGTGATTAATTGCTACCGGAGTAATCTGGGAGGACAAAAGCGCTGACCTGATAACCGGCTGGACCCAGCAAGTCATTGTAAAGGCTCGCACGCATACAACTGCCTCTTCGACTATGAAGTAGTGTGCGTTCGGCGCACGCCCGCAGAGGGTATTGGAGACGCCAAATCCTTTATCTTTTATCAAATGTTTTTTCCGAGACCCTTCCCATGTCCCTGATTCCGAATATCAAATCGGGAAGTCGCAAAAACGCAGCTATCGTTCTCCCGCAGGAAGGGTTTTCCGAAACGGTAATTGCGGGGTGCGCACTGGGTGGGACGAACGCCACGGCCACTCGGCGAGGAACCAACGTGGCAAATCAGTCATCCAAAGCGATTTTCGAAGCAATTTTCGCGCTTCGTAAGCAACTTCTGACAGCACGAGGAGGGCAAGTAACAATTGGGGCCCCGCAATGTTAGGTAACAAAATCTCATCGACCCCAGTTTGTGTGGACGGTGCCTTTGCAGCTAGATGTGAGGAGTGTGTTTGAGGTATCCTTAGCCCTTTCTTTCGATCAAACCTTGCCTCAGGAAAAGTTTAGGCAGCACTGCCTCGCTCACCTAAGTTGGGAAATGATAATGTGTCACAAGGAAGCCCCGTAATCCCAAATTTCGCTCAACGCTGCTTTTTCACAACACTGATTGTGAGATGTCAGCCTCTCTTCATTGTAGGGTTACAGTATGTTTCAACCCGGAGTAGGCGAAGCATTTGAAGTGGAGCAGCGCGTCCGCGTAACTGAAGGCTTCGCGAGCGCACAGCGCTGGCATTTTGCCAAGCAAAGACTGAGGATAATGAAGAGACGCAGCCATGGTTCCCTTGTAAGCAAAGATATGATGTAGTATAAACAAAACACTGATCGAAGCGGCCATCTGGAGATGGAGGTATATGACAGATGCAGCAGAACCCTACCAAAGTTATTTGATTGCCTTTCTAGAGATAGAAATCATTCTAGTGGTAAAATGAAAATAACAATGCAACTTTCCTTAAAGACAAGGATGAATACCAAAGCAACCCCATCAGGGATGGCCGTCTCGAGAAAAGGACCTTACATGCGACACAAATTTTGTCAGTTCTATGTTTTTGCATGCTAATCATTCAACTATTCTTTGAGACATTTCCAAGCTATTCTTGATGGCTTACTATTCGTAGCTGAGGATAGAGTCAAGTCAACCTCCAGCACTCATATGAGCATGAACAATGGTATTCAAGGGAACAGATTCTGTTGAGAAAGTCACTCATCAGCTGAGATATTAATAGAGAAAATTTCATGCTTATAGCTTATTGACCCCCCCCCCCCCATACCAAATTCCCTACGTGGATCGACACTAACTGCGCAAAGACTGCACACAAAATATACACAAACAGTGAGACGAGTTTATATTATACACAAAGAAAGATACCTACCAAGTGCAGCGGGGTGCTAAGTTGAAGCAGCCGAATTCATTTAGGAATCATTCATGAACACATGCGCGCTTTTACTTTCCACCAAAAGAAAAGACAATGTAGTTGGGATTGAGTAGGAAAGCCTATAACGCACACCTCGGCTCTTTAAGTCTCGGCATGATTATAACACTGTTGTTTTGCGTGATATTGAAACGCTGCACTCAGCTGTTAGATTTGATAAGAGACTTACTTCTTGTGCAGATTTGAACAATGCTACGAATGCCATCCGACCATTACACTATCATGCTCAACCCAAGCACGAACTGATCATATACTACCCGCAAAGTGAGATAAAATAGTGCAAAGATACACCTTAGCCAAAACTGCGATACCACAATCAAACGCTCATAACGATGGCTTGAATTCGAGTAAAGTCCCTTCAATCTATTAGACATGTCCGAGTGTGTATCACACATATGAGGCCAGCGCAATGGAAATCGATCGGAGGCCGCAACACAGCAAATAAAGGGTAAAAATAACCTCAGAGCGAGGCAACGGCCAAGAAAGACGAAGAAAAAACTAGCCGAGAATCATGAACGAGGCACAAACAGACAAGCAGAAAACAACAAGATTCAAAGATATTTGCAAAAAAAAACCGAATCTATTTAAGTAAACGAAAAATCACAAACTTTATAAGACTCAATTAGAATGTGACAACGCACCTCTTGCAGTTGTATGAGACTCAAATTCTCTGTTTCTGATGATGCTGACTCCGTGCCACTACCAGAAGGGAGAGCGTCCCCAGCGGTGCTTGAACCGCCTTCACTCATCTGTAAAGTGAAAGCGTAGCTCTTCTAAACATCAGTAAATTCGAGTAGGATGGTGAACGCTGTCCGAAACAGGTGACGCTAGGATGTCATAGCATCGAAGGGAACCAAATGTCAGTAAGCAGTGATTATAGATGTGAAACAGGCAGAATCAAACACATATGTAATATAAAGCTTGGAAAAGATATCACAGATAAGCCTTCAAGAAATAGTGTGAATTTCCTGGAATGCTCTGCTGGCACACAAGGCTTACAAATGTACCTACACTAATGGATGATCCGCACATTTAGACACCTCACCATCTCAGTGCAATAAGTGGACTTACACGAAGCGACATAATTATCACCATTAACCACCTTCAGAAGAAAGAAACAATCAGGCGTACAATAGTAGAGAGCTTCCGTGGCGCGGCGCTCTGCATCTCTGATGGTACACCCTCCTTTCTCACTACGCTCTGCCATCTCTCACTCGTGCAGCGGATGCAGAATCCGTGCACCGCAGTGTCGGCTTTGATTATAGAGCGTATATATAGCTCTAGTGGACGTGCTTGAAGCGAAATATGATTGTAACGCAACCTGTACCGACCAATCTACGTACCTGTCTTCAAAGATAGCAGTTGCAGTAGAAGGTCGTCCTAAACCGCAGTTTTATCTCAGAATTGGTGATTTCACGTGGCGTTGGTGCTAGAATGATGCGTCGAGCAAAATAATGGTTTTATCCAACAAGATCAATGCGGTGTTATCGCAATGCATAAGTCGTTCACTTGAAGTTCGGTCATGCCGCGACGATGCGCTGCAGCACAGTCTGACTGTATTATAGAACCTAGCAGGTATCGACACAGTAGCCAAAACCAGGCGTAGAGAGATTGCGTAGCCGCTGTAACTGCACAAACTTCGCTAGATATGTTTTACTGAGTCTGTCTCTCGCCAACCACAGTAACCGTAGCCCGCTGCATACGCTGAAACTGAGATTTCAAAAAAGTACTCCAAATTGAAGTTCGTAATCACAATAAACCAATCACGGAAAATTGGGATTTATATGTTTTCGAGGTCCTCCTTCTCAGTAACAATGTCTGTTTTGCGTAAAAGGTCAGGACACAAGGACAAAAGGACACAAGAGTTACAAACAAATTTTGAAAATCAGAATCCAACGATTAGGACTAGAAAACTTGTTTTCAAAATTATCTGTGGGTGAAACTAGAAACTTGCCTGTATTTGATCACAGTTGCGCATGTACATATCTACAATGCGTTCAACGAGGCCAGCGCCGCGTAGTGTGCAGTCAAACATCTACGCGCTAGCGTTACCGTCGCGCAACGTGCGGGACCACGCCGCGCACAACATCGCAGGCCTTGATTTTATCACTGTACCCGTAATTTTCCGGTTTTTTTTTTGTAGCAGCGGATTTCCATTTCCTTGTTTCTATTCTGATATGCCATCTGCCTTGATACCTGACATAATTCGCAGCAAAAGAAGGAGGCATTAAATCTTTAGGCGTTTATCTTCTTGAGAACTTTCATTTCATCTAGGCCTTCTTCGAATGGCTGATCCCGCATGTCATGATTCATTATATCGTCTCGTGTCAGCGAAGACATAATCATATATCGTTTCGGTTTGAGTGAACAGTTTGAGTGAACAGCACCAATGCACTGTTCACTCAAACTATTCTCTCACCTGTACTATATACGATTAAATCTCACATATTCACTTTTAGATGTAAGGAAGGAGAGCATCAGCCGTTCTCAAAATTCACAAATGAAATAATTTTGATTACATCTTCATCTAGACCTCAAACCCCCATTTTGTCTTCCATTCGCGCGGTGATACTTTGAGAGATCTCAGGGAGTACCGAAGTAGAGTTTCAGGCACGAAAAAGAAATTTGGAAGCAGGACAGCGAGTAATCTAAGAAAGAAGCAGGAAGTGTGGCTAAATCAAGGACCATGCCGCTTCGCGCGGCATGCTCAGACAATCACCGGGGGCAGGCGGGCAGCGGAAAAATAGATTGCTGATCTCTCGCACCCCGCTCGCGGATTTTTTGGAAAGCAATCAGGACTTTTCGGAAGACCGCTTGCTAGGTTCTCGATTTCTCAGAGATTCAGCAATATATCTGCAAAAGATAAGAGCGAAAAAAATTCAACAGGCGGTTTTCAAAAATCCGCTGACTCAGCAAGCGGTCTTCCGAGAAGTCCTGATTGTTTTCCAAAAAATCCGCGAGCGGGGTGCGAGAAATCAGCAATCTATATTTCCGGTGCCCGCCTGCCCCCAGCGATTGTCTGAGTGGTCCTTGCACGCTGCAGCCGGTAGCGCTCGCGCGTAGGTGTGTGACTGCACTAGAGGCGCTGGCCCCATTAAAGCATTGTACTCAAACAGTTTTCCCTTCCCTGCGTTGCACGGTTCTGACCTCATAAAGGTTTCCCTCGGGCAAAATGCCGCAGGCGCACAAAAGTTGTAACCTGTATCTCATGTAACCATGACTAGTTGACTGGTATTGTTTCGGAGATGCCTCATGATTATCCAATTCAAAATCACTTTGAACATTTTGTGAAAAAGTACCTCTTGTGTTTTATTTTGCGAACAACCATAACTATGAAAAAGAACCTCGAAGACATATAAATCCCAATTCTGCCATGACTGGTCCACTAAAATAACTTTTACCTGGAATACTTTTTTAAAATCTCCCGTTCAGCATCTGAAATCTCACTTTCATCTTTCAGCAAACAAACATTATACAATTTCGGCCGTGATTGGTTCATTGTGATTACTAAACTTCAATTTGGAGTATTTTTTTGGATTTAGTTTCAGCATATGCAAGTGCGGGCTACTTTATTTCCGTGGTTGGCGAGACAAACTCGGTAAAAAATTTTGAGCGAAGTTTGTGCAGTTACAGCGGCTACGCAATCTCTCTACGCCTGGTTACTGTACCAAGTCCATGACCTGTTGGGTTCTATAATACAGTCACAGTCTGTGGCATGCCATTTGGTGGCGTCATAGTTGCCCAATTCCGAAACGGAACTGGATCCCAACAATGATATGGATTGCGGGTAATAATGACCCCTCTTGAAGGCAGCTCGGCAGATTCATTGCTTTTACCACTCCACTCCTAGCAGTACAGAAACTGGAACTGGCATCCAAGCTGAAGCTTGAATGCAGTTTCAATTTGCACTTTTGCCTTCTGGATAGAAGATTTGCTAAATAGGCGACGTTGGTGGGAGTCAGTCGACCTGAAACTAGAGCGTCCTGCTAAATAGCAGGATCGGTTGGTTTGGCACAGTTGAGTTGTGCGCTGTGCTGGAACTGTTATGGAACTTGCGGTCTAGTATGAACCCAGCCTAAGGGATCGTTCAGACCACGCACAAAGACGCACGAAGGCGCATGAAGGCGCACAAAGGCGCACGAAGGCGTGTGTGTATGTGGGTGTGTGTGTGTCGAGATGAACGAGATCAGACGAGACGCGCCTTCGTGCGCCTTTGTGCGCCTTTGTGCGCCTTTGTGCGCCTTCGTGCGCCTGTGCGCCTTTGTGCGCGGTCTGAACGATCCCTAAGGGAGGCGCCAGACCAACCAATCCTGCTTCAGCAGGATGCGGCGCAACTATAAGATAATGTCATTTGGCATCACGTTAAACAGAAATCGAAGTGGCGTCTGCGATGTTCGCAACAACAGTAGTCTTTTTGAAGAGATGGTAAAGAAGCCTCGCAGAATGAGAGGATGATAAGAAGGCCTTACCAGTAAAAAGTTTTTGTTGTAGCGAAGCCAGGCACGCCGCCTTGATTTTCCTACAACGTGATATCAAATGACAGTGACTACGCCGCCTCTTGCTGCAGCAGGGAATCGCTTAGTCTGGCGCCTATCTAAGCGACTCGAGTACGTTTTGCACATATCGTTCGGCGCTATTCGACTATCCGGGCCCCAAAATTTTTTGGTCATGGATTTCGCTCAAACTTGGTCCAGGGGGGTTATCTGACATGCTGATCACGAATATCACATTTTCTCCGCAGGAAAACGCCTCCCTGCAGGGTTACGGTAGGTGCACGGTAGGGGGTCAAAATCACGGATATGCCTGAAACTTCGTCTAGAGGGGTTATTTGGCATGCTGAACATGAGTATGATGTTTATTTCGTGTGACAGCGCCATCCGGTGAAGTTACGGTAGGGGATCAAAACCGTAGATTCAGCTGGAACTTGGCCCAAGGGGTTATTCGGCCCGGTGACGCCAATATCACATCGGTTTTGTACCGTAGCGTCATTTTCTCGGGTTACGGTGGGTATACCGTATAGGGTCAAAATCTCAAAATCCGCTATAACTTCGCACAGAGGGGTTATCTGACATGCTGATCACGAATGTCACACACTTTTTCCGCACGAAAACGCCTCCCTGCATGGTTACGGTGTTTACGGTAGGGGTCAAAACCACAAATCGGCAAATGTATCTCCTGTGCTTTGCTTAGGCAAAAGCCGCAGCAGGGTGTGTAGCGAACGCCCGTAAAAGGGCTCGGACCTGGGAGGAGTTGCAGGTGCGCTCCATCGCCATTTCGATTAGAGCACCGTTTTTCCAATTGGAGCGCACTATCTCCAAACACTTGCACGTTTCACGCCGATCTGGACCGCCGATGAACTTTGAGTATACGTATAGTCTTTAATATCTTTGTGGAAATTTGACGGTAAAATGTGGACAAATCATGTTAAAGGATCAAAACTGCCAATTCTTTGTTACGATAAAACCAGTTTGCGTGTATTTCATGCGTAGAAAAAATTCTGTGAAACATCAAACCATTTTTCTGCTCAACTTTGAGGCACAAACCCACAAGCCTGCCAGAAATTCGAAATCCTTGAGAATGTTTGGCTCAAAAATACATTAATTCCAAGCATGCTGGATTTTTTTGTGCATATTCGACCGACCCCACATGTGTTTGGACTCTTGTCACATGTATTTCCACGAATATATACAATATCTATGCTCTCAATAAATCTAATGATAAGTAAGATCCGCTCCAAGTTTCAACGTTCCCAAACTTCCGGATTATGAACGCAGCCTACGGCTTGTTCATAGATGCGATAGGTGGAGAAATTTCTCTGACCCCCTTCACTTTAAGGCCGGCATCTGGCTGACCCCTTTCACCTGAGGTTGAGACTAATCAAGGCAAACAGCTATTACAACGGAACTTTTGTTTGGAAAGGAAACGCCAGCTGCTCTTCTCCTCAGACATCAAGACTGCAAGAGAGTATCGAATCAACAACGTTTCGTTAAAAAACGCATGCTTGAGACCTTCTGCGCGCTCAAAGGGCGTTGATAGCGAAACGTAATCAAAAAGTAGAAGGTGATTTTTTGAATAATTAACATTGTATCAATGAATACATACTTTGCAAAAAAGAGTTGAGCAAGAGTAGAAAAATCTGAACCGACTAGCGATGGATGCATGTTTACTGACAAGAAATCATACCTTATCTCTTTTTACTAGAGAGAATAATAACAAACAAAACAACAGTCAGATTACTCGTTTTTCATGCTTTCGATTCATATAGGCCGTCCGCGCTGCGCGCGGAGAGCAACGCTGTTGCGTCCAGTGAAGATAGTTGAGCGCAGAGAAAAACAGGCGGCGAGAGTGCACGGGGAAAAAGGAGTGACGCGCAATACACACCTTGCGCACTCTCCGCGCCCTGCGCGGACGGCCTATATATAAAAGTTCGAAAAAGACCTTCTTGGTTCGAAAATATGATTATCCAAAATTGGCTGATATTGTAGCCAGATAAAATTGCTCGTATCTCGCTTCACAGAGAAGCTACGAAAAAAGAGACGGTCTATGTCGATTCCTCGCGTTCTTAGCTATCGAATGGTATATAAGATGTTGGTGCACAAAGCTTTCCCAGTCCAAAAAAGTCTTACTCCGGCAGCCCATAGAAAGCCGGAGCGAGGTGGAGCAAATTACTATTGAATATCTCCACCTCATTTTTGAGAAATCACAAGTTTTTTCACCCGACAACCTGCATACCATTAGAAAGCCCACAAAAAAGGGATTCGACGTAGACCGTCTCTTTTTCTCTAGCTCCCCTCTACTTAGAGTTACACGGGATTTTACCCAAAAAGATGTGTGTTTTTGTCGAGAAATTTCTGCGTGAAGAATGGATAAAGGTGCCTGATTTTCTAACTGCATCACAGAGCAAGACCTTGCCAGTAAACTTGGACCGTCTCTTTTTTTTAATCTTTGTTCTTTCTTTCAAAAATAAATTACAAAATAATTACACAAAATTAGCTGGTGAGTAGGCGTATAAAATCGCTCGTATCTCGCTCTACAGAGAAGCTGTGAAAAAAGAGACGGTCTACGTCGATTCTCCATAATCTCAGCTTTCGAACGGTGTGAAGCATGTAAGGGCTTTTTTGCTTCCCGGCTCTAAAAAGCACTTGCTCTGGTGACCGATAAAAGCCAATACATTGAGGGAGCTGGGTGGAGCCAGCTAATAGTAAATACCTGCACACCATTTTTAAAAACTGGCAAGTTTTTTCGCTCAGCAGTCTATATACCATTCGAAAGCCCAGGAAAAGGGGACTCGACGTTGACCGTCGAATTCTTTCTAGCCGCCCTTTACCGAGGGATACACTGCATTTTACCTGAAATCATGTTCATTTTCAACAGCAAATTTCTGCCAAACGAAGACCTAATCTGCTGGTTATCTATCTGCGTTACAGAGCAAGTCTTCATTAGCAGACGTAGACCGTCGACTTTCTCGTAGCATTCTTTTGGAGAGCAGAAAGTGAGGACACAAAATTAGTTGACACATGAAGTACATAAAATCCCTCATATCTCGCGGCACAAAAGACCTAGAAAAAAGCCGACGTTCTATGTCGATTCTGTATGACCTCAGTTTTCGAATGGTATGTAACTTGTTGGGGCATTTTCTCTCAGGGCTCACTTACCCCCTTCACCTTACAAGGATGGGAGTAGCAGAGACCCCCTTCACCTGGAGAGGGCCCGGCTCCCCCTATCGCACCTATGGTGATGATCAGTGAGAATATGACGGCAAGCCAAGTTCTATGTTCAGCACATTGGCCAGCTCTTTGCTCAAAAAAAATTCTCAGTAATTTCAATTCCAGTAAGTAAAGTTTCATAGTTAACTCACAAGGAAACGATACTTGGTGTCCGTGGCCTTTTGAGATGAGATGTATACCATTACACTCATCTTGGAGCGCTAATTCCGAATCTGACCTCCGTTTCTGCTAATCGTTTCTCTAAAAGAAGTTATGAAGGATTTTTGTGTCAAAGGAGACGTGTTCGGAATGCCAAAACCGTCGCTAAGATGTGATGTAGTGGCTAGTGCGATAGCTTCGCAAGTCAATGTAGGCTTAGGTTCGAGTCCTTTTGTATTCTTCAGTTTTGCATTGCCTCAATCAAGCTTCTTTTTGAAAGTTAGGCATCCTCGGCCGCATTTCTCATAGGCAACCATTGACGCGAAAATCCTTTATAACTTCTTTCAGAGAAACGATTAGCAGAAAAGGAAGTCAGATTTGGAATCAGCGTTCTAAAACGAGTGTGATGGTATACGTTTCGTCTCAAAAGGCCACGGACACCAAGTATCGTTCCCTTGTCAGT